AAAAAAAAAAAAAAAAAAAAAAAAGCAACCCTCTTTCAGAAAGGGCATTGCACGTTTGGATGGTGCTGGACGCCAAGGGTTAAAGCACTTTCCAATTTCCAAGGACGACTTGGGTCCTGGTTTAACTTCTTTTGAGCCCATTTGAAAGAATCAGGAGAAAGAATCCCAAGCCCGCATGAAGCCCTTCGACAGAAGGGTGGCGTTGACCATTCCCAGTCTCTCCACGCCAGCCGCCAATGCTGGGGACAGCGAGAGTGAAGATGAGGCCAGCTTCTCTTGGGAAGTGCCCTCAGCAAGAGTGGGCTGATGTGGTCCCGTTGGCCGCCTCGAACTGTCTGTGAAGCTCAGGCTCCAGGGCCCCGACGCTTCTCAGCAGACCTGGTAACTGAAAGGCTGGGGACCCACCAAGCCTCCCAGGGCTGGTGGCCATGGTCAGAAAACGCTCATCACAGCACAGGGGGAGTCAAGCCTAAAGACGGGCGGACAAGGAAGCGGCGTTCGCTTTCCGGGAACACTGGGGTGTAAGAAAGGGGCTGGAACCAACCTTCGCAAGGGCAACGTTTCATCACCCGCATCCCAGCGACTCGGACAGAGCAGCAGAGAGATGCTGCCCCCACTCACTCCCTGGCCGTACCCCGAGCGCCTTGTTTCGTTTAACCATTTCAAAGTGTTTCCAAGATGATTAGCTCACTTTTTTATCCCCTGAGCAACCATGCAAGGTATGTAGGGCATCTCTCCCACTTTACAGATGGGGAAGGTGAGACACAGCCGCTGGGGAGCAGCCAACAGAGAGGCGTCCGCTCCGTCCTGACTCCCGGCCCGGCGAGCGCTCTTGCTGCCAAACTGGAGAGTCTTCCCTTTCTCACATCCTGCGGCTGCTCTTCAGCCATCATGGAACCCCAGCTCCTCCATGAGAGCCCACCCCCAAAGCCCACTTTTTCATGAGGAATATTGGTCTATTAATCATTCCGTTATTAAACTTGCCATTTACGGTAACATTCTAAAGATTGAACAGACCTAGTTTTTTGAGTCACCATTTCAGGTATCAGTTCAAGACATGGATGCCAGGCAATGACACCTATGTAAGCTCCCGACCAAGAAGGGTGAGTGGGGAATGTCCCTTTTCTGGTGATTAAATGACTTATCTATGTGTCAGAGCATTACAGCAATGGAATGGTGTCCAGGTTACTGTGGTGTGTGAGGATTTCTCTCCCGCACCCCGACCCACACACCACCCCCTGGAAACCATGGTGCCAGCCACACATCTCCCTGGAGCCCGGTCATAACCATGTGATGCCTGTCTGTGGAAATGACACTATCAGTCCGTTCTCCCAGGGGGTGAAGAGCCTGAATGCTTTCCAGCGGGGAATATTATGCGTCAGTAACCGTTTTCACGTCTTTTTCCTCTAACGTGAACCGGAGATGCGTTACCACACAAATGCACGCACACGTACAGAGACAGAAAGCAGAACGGCTAAAATGACAAAGCAAAACCAGAAGAAGAAACGAACAGCCATACACCCAGAAGGGAGATGCCGCCATCTTAAAACCGGAAGTGAGAGGCTTACTATACTTTTACGTTTCATTTAGCTCTGAGTTCCCTGGAAGTCAAGGTAAAAACAGAAATACGATGGAGACACCTGGATGGCTCCATGGGTTAAGCATCTGGCTCTTGATGTGCGCTCAGGTCATGATCTCACGGTTCATGAGTTCGAGCCCTGTGAGGGACTCTGCACTCACAGCATGGGCCTACTTGGGATTCTTTCTCTCTCTGTCCCTCTCTCTCTGCCCCTCCCCCTCTTGAGCACACATACGCACACACACACTCTCTCTCTCAAAACAAATAAACTTAAAAAAAAAAAGAAATACATGGATTATATGGTTCTTGTGTGTGAAAAAAGAAGGTATTTGCATTTATATTTCATCAATTCTTTGTCACCCACAATTTGGCATGAGTTTGAATGGGTGTTTTATGTATATGTTTTCTTCCCAAAGCACAGGATAGGTGAAGTCTAGTCAGGATACATGCTTTCTGAAAAAATATTGTGGGAAGTTGGATATGCTTTCGGGCCTGATGGAGAGAAAGATATGGAAACCCAGAATCTTCCTTACCTCCTCCAGTTTATCCATCCGTCCAACCAGTTTGGTGGTGACAGAATGCAGCTTCAGGAGATCCAGACCATAGAAGGCTCCTTCCAGCATGTCTATGATGGTGGAAAGCTATGGAACGTGAGTAGCAGGTTAGTCGAGGGCTGGGGTGTGACACCCAAGACGAGACTTCTCCTGTCAGACCCCCAAGCTGGAGGCTCAACAGAGAGGCCACTGGCCAGGAACGGAGAGGGGGGCTCTTGGAAACTGGCGTTTTGTAGGTGGGAAGTATTGTGCCCCCTGGAATACTCAGATAAGAAAATGGAAGAATCCAGGGGTGCCTGGGTGGCTCAGTCGGTTAAGCGTCTGACTTCAGATCAGGTCATGATCTAGTGGTTTGTGAGTTCGAGCCCCGCGTCAGACTCTGTGCTGACAGCTCAGACCCTGGAGCCTGCTTCGGATTCTGTGTCTCCCTCTCTCTCTGCCCCTCCCCTGCTCATGCTCTGTTTCACTGTGTCTCAAAAATAAATAAAAACATTTAAAAAAATTAAAAAAAAAAAAAAAAGAATCCTAGAAGAACGAGTGAAACAAGTCTACACATCTTCACCCAATCGCTCAGACCCCTTTTCTTCTCTTAGGTGTATGCTTGCTTGTCTTTCCTCTTAGACGCTGAGCTCCTTGAAAGTGGTGCCCCATCTTTGTTTCCCCAAGATCTCTAGCACAGCACCTGGCCCACAAGAGTGATCTATAAATACTCAACAAAGTGGCTCATAAACTTCGATGCCTTGAGGATGTGCTCCTGAAATACCCAACCTCGTTGTCTACCCTGGGAGATACCAACAGTTTTCCCTCAGCACTAAAACTAAACTAACCACGGGGTAAAAGAGGCCCCATGACCCATCTCTGCGATAGCATGCCATCGTAGGGCGCGAGCCTTCTCAGTGCTTTTAATGCTGTCCTTCCTGCCAGTACTCTGGGAGGACGGTGGCCAAATATCTGGTGATATCCAAGTCACCCAGAGCGCAGGCAAAGGGGCAGGTGAGAGATGCTTGAACTGGGCCTCCCTGCCAAGGACCAGTCCCTGGAAGAATTCGCTGGACAACCTTCTGCGATTTCTGTTCCCCACCCGTCTCCCAGCCTTGCTGGTAGATGAAGAATTCCATGTCATGAGACACTTGTGTTCAGAAGCCCTCCTTCCGCCCCACCAGAGGAAAGTAGCTGAACTGGGGGTGAGAGCCGCAAAAAGGCATCTTGTTGGCATGCACTGGGATGATTTTCTGAGTGGCTCCCAATAGAAAATTTTGCCTGCTGCTGTTCCAGAAGCCCCCAGGAGTCCAATCCTGTAACTGGGTGGTTCAGAGAGCAGCTTGATGGGGGGCTGTGGCTCTGAGGCACACTGGATCCCGGGGCAGGATGTTAAAGCACTGTCCTGCTAACCCCCGCTCTGCGAGAAGGGTATCCATGACCGCCAGCTACCGAGCACGTACCAGGCACGGGCACAGAGGCAGCTCTTCACGTTGGTCATTCACGAACAGGACGCGTGTCTACTGACCCTGACTGCGTATCAGGCACCGTGCCAAGTACTCCGTAGGGTCATCCATCGGTTCCCAAAGCAACCCCCCAAAGCAGATGTTGTTATCCCCACTTGCTACTCAAGGAGACCAAGGTCGGGCAAGGCAGTTAGGCACCTTGAGTAGGATTACACAGCAAAGAATAGCGGAGCAACAACCTGAACCCAAGTCTGTGTGACTGCAAAAACCAGGCCCAGGCCACCGCTCCCCCCTGCCACCCCCCACTGCAATGAAGCGGGGAGGGCAGAGATCGGACAAAGCCCTCAGCCCACCCCTGCAGCAGCCTCAGGCAGGCCTGAGCTTCCCCCCCTCCCCACCCCCCCGGAC